CAACAACAAAAAAGACAACAAGAGAAAACGGCACTAGCAGCAGAACTTACTTTACTTAACTCTTACTTTTTTTTCTTCCACTCGTACCGTTGGGTGTCGCGGGGAGACGGAGGCGTCTGCTGAAAACCTCTGCTTTTCTTTCACGTATTCGAAAGGACCGCTGTTTTCGTTTCATGTACAAATAAATGCCTTAGATGTGTCACTATACGAGACTACAGCTGTATCTGACAAAAGTGATACCGTACTGATGGACGACAAAATTGAACAGGTCAAACAATAAGTCAAAAAGTGGGGAAATGATATAGATTCAACGCTTCTATCGACACTAATAGGTAATAAGAGACGGAAACATAAGAGCGCGTTAAGTGATAATTAATTGTAATGTAATGCCATTTTTCGCCTCACCTTAAAACTGATCTCAAAAAGAGGTCGTCATTGACCAAGTCAGAAGAGCGTCCTGTCTGGCCGGAAGGGATCAGGTGAAATCCCAGTTTCGTGACCACTGTATAGCTCTTAACTATTTATTACGAAGCTTTTGTTACAGAAATCAATACTGGGGGTTTACACTTTAGTCTCTTACCTAATCTCGGCGCCGACTAGGTCAGAATAGCAGGCATTCTTTCTATTACTACTCCTCGAGGGAAGTATAGTCGGTCAAATTGCTTTAACTGTAAGTTGCATTGCTTTTTCCTGACAGTAGACAGTCATAATTAGCCTTATGGTCTACAGTGGATTTAAGTTAAACTCGAGATGCACTGTATCGTAGATTAGCTTGTACAGGTTACAATGTTAAGGTCATCTTAGAGGTTTTTGCAACTTGATCAGGTGCGTGACGTCATCCTTTCGACGGTTCCTCGCAAGTTGAAAGCGGGAAAAGTAACGTGGTAGTCATGACATTTTGTTTCTTTATACAAATAGCGCCCATTCCCTTGCAAGTCTTTCTCTGAGCCGTTCGCCGATGTATCACTACCTTCTTTTTACACCGTATGACCGTGTGCCTACAAATCAAGGCACGGAAACAATAAAAGCTGTATGTGTGTTCACCAGGATCTGAGAGTTGTCATCGCATACTTAGAAAACCTGCTTTGTAAAATAAATGTCTCGGGTTCGTCCCCCAAAATCGAACCTTTTTTGCTGTAGCTTTTTGCTGGGTTTTTGTGTGGATTGTTTGTTTGTTGTTTGTTTGGGTTTTTTTAGGGGGGGGGGTTATTGTGGGGTTTATTTTAGTTGTTTTTTGTGTGCATTTTTAGAAATGTTGTTTCGTTTGGGTTTTTTTGCCAGTTGGTTTTTTGGTTTTGTTTTGTATTTTCTTTTTGGGGGGGAG